CGTTGAAAACGTCATCTGAAATCCTTCGAACCATTTCCTTTGGCCTCTGCATTAAAGTTTACACCAAGTTAGAAACATGACAACCAAGAACGAAGACGGGTGTTAAGAAAAGCAATAATCCAATAACCTGGAAAATCGATTTTATAAGGGCTTCATCTTCTTCTTCTATTTTCTTCTCCTGTTAGCACATTATTACCTTGTAGTCAGAATCAGGAGGAAAAGAAAATCTAAGCATACTAAGCAATTTGCTAATCACTTATCATGCTAATGTTCTGTTTGTATGCACAGTCATGTCCCTCTCTCAACAAGTATTGAAGGTATATAATGCAAACATTCATAAAGATTTAAGAGAAATTGCAGTTTAAGCATAACTCAACAAGACTATCCAAATAGAATACAAATGAAGCACTCGTGAGACTTTCTGCAAAATAACCGCTTTAGCTAGAAAGAAATAAATAGAAGTATTTTTACCTTTTCTGAAGCAGTGCGCTGCAAGGTCTCCAGCATTGCCTCTACGCTCACGGTCTCATGTCTGGACTGCAATATAAGATACACAGACATAATCAAAACAAAGTAAATACTTGCATTAGTTTTATAATAGTAATCTTGCAGGTATCTCTTGCATATTAAACAAAAGTCGGTTCAAGTGTTTAGCTACCTTCATAGACTTCATTTCATCAAGTGCAGCAAGGATGTCCATCTCCCTTTTCGAATCCAAGGTTCTGTTCTCCAAAGATTTCATGGCATCCCCCATTTCTTCTGATTCTCTTTTCTGTCTCTCTTTCTCTGCTTCCTAACAAAAGGAAAGATGGAAGATATCATTATACAGGTCATTACTGCATATCCAATGATGTTAAAAGAACTATAGCAATGAGCTCTCACCTCATCCTCAGCACGCCAAGGTTCAAAATTTCTTGTTGCACCCATTCAACAACATAATCTGAATTTTTAAGAGTCAGAAGAATGCTTCAACTTACCCCGCCGATAACATCTTCTTTGCGAGAATTGAACTTCGTGCCTTTGTAGATGTAATTCACACATGTACTACAACGGATGCTCATCGGAAGCATCATCCGCACCTTCATCTGTAGATTCTTTGGTCGCCGGGCCCTCGGAAGCTTCGACGGATCAAAGTCCGGCGGGTAATACTTGTTGAGCACTTTTCGTTCTCCCATCTTCGCGGATCACAGATTTTGATTAGCTATTCAATTCGAAACACAAGAGAGTAATGCAGATGAAGAGAGCAGTCGATCTTCCAATTTCAAGTTTAGGGTTTCGAAAAAAAGCAGAAGGCTTTGGCGATTTGAAATTATAAATCTCTTCATTTATTTAATTCATTCATCTAAGTATCTTCGACATTATGAGAAAATATTTAAATTATTAAATTAATTTATTGTATCAAATCCTAACAATTGAGATGGATGTGTAAACATATATTCAAAATTATAATTTGTGTTGCTTTAATCCAGAATCGTTGTGTCACACACTTCACCAAAAAACAAGAACAAGAGCAATCCCAACGTTTTCCTCTTTCAACTTTTTTCCAACAATTAATTGATCTTTTTTTCCTTTTCACTTGCTGTCAGTGAAATCTGCATCGATTACATCCTCATCAGGCCCCTTGTTTGATGAATCTGAAGCTCCACTTTCGCCACCGGGTGCAGGTCCGGCACCGGCACCGGCACCGGGTTGGTTGTAAAGTGACTGACCAAGTTGCATCACTTCTTGGTTGAGTGCAGCCATGGCATCCTTCATACCTTGTGTTGAGTCCTGTGATATTGCATCCCTCAGTTCTTGCAACTTTGTCTCTACTTTCTCTTTCACCGGACCCGGGACCTTGTCTCCAAGCTCCTTCAGCTGCTTCTCGGTCTGGTAGACCACAGAATCGGCTTGGTTCTTTGTGTCGATGGCGTCCCTTCTCTCCTTATCTTCCTTCGCAAACTTCTCGGCTTCCTTTACCATTCTATTAACCTGCGTATTTCGACAAAAGATTCGAGCAAAGGTTTACTATCACTACTTGCATCCGAATACATGGGAGAAACAATAGAAATACATCCCAAATTTAAATGAGCATGCCTCATCATTCGGCAAAGTACTAGCACCGGTAATAGTGATGTCCTGCTTCTTCCCGGTTCCTTTATCAATAGCAGTGACTGAGAGGATGCCATTGGCATCAATGTCGAATTTGACTTCAATCTGTGGAACACCACGTGGTGCCGGTGGGATACCATCAAGTCGGAAACTGCCGAGAGATTTGTTATCCCGAACAAACTCTCTTTCACCTTGGAGTACACTGATCTCAACACTCGTCTGGCCGTCGGCAGCTGTGGAAAACACCTCTGATTTTGAGGTTGGAAGTGTGGTGTTTCTTGGGATGATTTTGGTCATAACACCACCAAGAGTTTCTAGACCAAGTGACAACGGGGTCACATCCAAAAGCACAATATCACTGACATCCCCAGATAAAACACCGGCCTACGACGGACACAAAGAGACAACGGAAAACATTAAAAATATAATTTAAACAATCATAAGATTTGATAAGCAAGTAAACAACTCCATGCAGCATTCAACTGCAAAGGAACAATTACTATAGAAACGGCAACAAACTTAAAGCAATGAATAACCCAACCTGAACTGCAGCCCCCAAGGCAACAACTTCATCTGGATTAACAGTCACGTTAGGTTCCTTGCCGGTCAACTTCCTCACAAGTTCCTGAACAGCTGGGATTCGTGTCGATCCGCCAACAAGAATCACCTCATCTATATCCTTAAAGGAGAGTTTTGCGTCCCTCAGGGAATTTTCCACCGGTGTCTTGAGCCTATAGAATACATTATATTGAACTTAAGATCATTAGTGATTAAGCCCAAAAATTTGGAACATTACAGACGTACCCCCCCTCCCCCCACAACTCGTAAATAAAGAGATTGAATGGATAAAAACTACCTGTCAAGAAGGTCTGAGCACAATTCCTCAAACTTAACCCTTGTAAGGGTGGTCTCAATGTGTTTAGGCCCATCTGCAGTTGCGGTTATGAAAGGTAAACTGGAACAACGAAAAAGGTTGCATTAATGAACACCTAAAAATGCACGAACAAATATGTCGACGAAGAAAATACGGGGAGAGAATTGCCTTATGTTTGCTTGAGTCAAAGATGATAACTCCATTTTAGCCTTCTCAGCTGTCTCGGTTAACCGTTGAAGAGCTTGCTTGTCTTTCAAAAGATCAATGCCTTCATCTCTCTTGAAGCTGTCAGAAAGCCAGTCAACAATTCTCTGCACGCAAAATATAAGAATACTTCAGCATTCAGCACTGAAAAATACAACTAAATGAAAGAAGAATGTTCATTAGTCCGAGTATAATTACCTTATCAAAGTCGTCACCACCCAAATGAGTGTCCCCAGATGTAGAGAGCACCTCAAACACACCATCACCAACCTCAAGCACTGTAAACATATTAACAAATAAACAATTAAACAAACGTTGGCATACCCACCACATTGCTCCAACTCTTCATATTTTTGAATTACCCGCCTCCAACACCCATGTTTGACATGAGTATGGATATGACCTCCAGAGATTGACTATAGACATATTAGACACATGCATAATCGATACTCACAAATAAATCTTCCCCAACTAAACATTCTAAGAAAGCAAGATAGAAAGTCATATACATGCAGATAAACAGTTTCTTGACCTGCTACAGTACCTGAAACGTCAATGTACCACCTCCAAGATCAAACACAAGGATGGTTTCATTGTTCTTCTTCTCAAAACCATATGCCAAAGAGGCAGCAGTAGGCTCATTGATAATCCGAAGAACTTCTAACCCAGCAATTCGGCCAGCATCCTTCGTTGCTGTCCGTTGGGAATCATTGAAGTAAGCAGGGACAGTAACAACAGCTTTGGTCACTTTATCATTCAAAAACTTCGAAGCATCATCAACAAGCTTTCTCAAAACCTATAATCCAAAATCAATTACACATTAGCCGTGTAAAGATTCTAAATTTCTTACATACAAATTCGAAATTCCATAATTTATGTTCCAAAAAGTTGTCAAATTATCAAAATTTCAAGTCAAAGGGACTTGATAAACATAGCTATAATATACCTGAGCTGAAATTTCCTCGGCGGCAAATTGCTTACCAATGGCGGGACAATCAAGCTTAACATTGCCATTATCGTCTCTTACAACCCTGTAAGAAACCTGTTTCGATTCCTCATCCACCTCCGACATCTTCCTTCCGATAAACCTCTTCACCGAGAAGAAAGTATTCTCGGGGTTAACGACGGCCTGTCGCTTCGCAATCTGCCCAACCAACCTATCTCCATTCTTGGTATACGCCACCACAGACGGCGTCGTTCTCTGCCCTTCCGCATTCGTAACGATCGTGGGTTTCCCCCCTTCCATGGCGGCCACAGCCGAATTAGTAGTCCCGAGATCTATTCCGACTACTTTCTCGTTCAAAACTCTAACCGGCCCAATGTTGTACCGTCCAACTTTGCCGTTGGATTTCTGCAGCCTTAAAAAGGCGGCGTTCAACGGAGACGGTTTACCCAGCCGTTGACCGAAGAAAGCGGTCCTCTGTGAATGGTGGTTGGGTTTTCGCGGAGAGGCGAAACCCATACCGCCGAGAACGTGGATTTGAGCAGCGGAAGAAGCCATCGGAAAACGAACCCAAATTCGCAAAACGAATATAGAGAGCTAAAGGGAGAAATAGGAGGTGAAATGGGGAAGGGATTGTTGGCTGAGTAGGAGAAAGGGTTTTAAGAGAAACAAAATGGTTGTGACGAATGACTGCGTGTGGTTGGTGTGAGGGTTATGTTCTGACACGTGGACAGCTTCTAGTCGCTGTTTGGATGGCGAGAAAAAAATCTTGCTGGTTGGAAAACTTGGCCTCAAAATGGTGGTTGTAAATTTGATACTCATATACAATAATATAGCAGAATTGTAAAAACGAAATAAATAATCCTTCAATTATTCATATACAAATTTTTTTGCATTTGGTTTCCGATGTAAACGATATACAATTTTTTCCATTTGATTTCCGATGTAATAACGATGATCGAGTTTCAATCGTTCATCTTGTAATACATGAGCTTCCGAGTTTTAATGTGGAAAAACATGTCTTCAACAACTTCAATCGAAACTTACGTTTGTATGGATGAACTCCTGAGGTATCAAAATATATAGAAGAAACAGTCTCATTCCTTCTCTGTAATTACCATAAACACATCCTTCACTGACCATCTTCTTCGCTCATTTTTAGCCGGCGGGTTTATAACGGCCCTCTCGGCGTTCACCAAACGGTAACCGATAACGATCTCTCTCCTTTGTCGAGCTCGTAAGAGTATTTCGTAGAAACTCAATTCTTCACCTTCGTGTAGGTAGAGCTCTGCTAGTCTAATATGCAGCTCATTTCCCTAAAGGAAAAACACCCAAACTTACAGGAACGATCAACAATATTATATAATGAATGAGAAGATGCACAATGAGCTGGTTCTAAGAGCAAATAAACTGGGAAAAAGGACCTGAATGACTTAAAATATAGCCTAGGTGACCCTTTCACCGTTTTCGTCCCGTGTCCGACATATGTTTAGAGATACGAACCTCTGACGATAATCCTCACCCTATTCGGAGGAATGTAAAGGTTATGGGAAAGAGAGAGTACCTCCTCTGCGAAAAGCTCTTCGAGAACATCGTTTATTTGCCGATCCTCTGCAACCATGGCCAATGCCATACTGACTAGCTCGTTCGATAAGACGTAATCACTAATCTTTGACATGGACAACAAATTTTTAGTCCTCGGGTCTAGTATTTCACTAATTATTACTGATCTATCTGAAGCTTGTTGCATCTCTCCAATCCAAGAACCTCGGGAGAAACTTCCTCTTTGACCTCGGGTAACCATTGCTTCTCTGTATGGAAGACGCTTAGCCTGCGAAAAACATAAAATCTGGAATTATTTCGAGAAAGACAGGCCGGAAGTCGACATCTGAAGAATAGGCATGTAATATGCTGTCAAGGCTCGCTGAAGAACTCGAATCATGCCGTAATAACACAAAGGTAAGCTTTTTGTACCATGTAAGTAGAAAAAAGTATGGACTTAAAGATCAAAACTGAAGCACCTGAATATCGCGAATCAGTAGTAATGTGGCAAGAGATCTGGAATCAGCTTGAATGGCCGAATCTTCCACGGATTCGTCGGCCAGAATTAGGATCTGTGCAGACCATAAAAACATGTTGAGAAGTTTAGACAAGTAAGGGTGTAAATGACCTACAATACGTTAAATGGCATATATAGAAAGTCCTAATCATCTTCGAATGTTCATTTTCCGACATTCATCTAAAAACATACTGTCATGGGAATTCTGCAAGGTGGCCGCCAATGCCATGCCTTCTAACATTTACCATAATTATTAACTGAAAATTACTTTAATTTATCATCATAAATATACCATTGATAAAGATACTTACTGAATCAAACGATTCCAACGGAAGACTTTCTAGGTGACGCCGTATAACGGCGTTACCTTCACGATGAACCAGTTGTATGTTAACCAATCTACTGAGGTCCAGACCACCTTCATCAAGCTTCCTTTCCCTCTCACTTTCAACTACCTCATTGAACATCCAGAGCTCTGATCCAGGAGCTAGGAAGGCATCCAAAACCTAAACAAACATTGACGAGCATACATCCATTATAGTATAATATCACAAAGAACGAAATGTGTTCTATTTGGTGCATCAAAAGTAAAAACATGGGACAAGTCTTGCAGTTTGTGAAGATTTGTTGGAATTAACAGCTGATATCGAATGACAATTTGCACCGTGGGAGCATCATCCTTGGTTCCTCATAACATTACCATGATCATGTCTTCCATATCCCGTCGCCAACCACAAAGAAGTATTTTTTCCATCAACTTTGGGACAATAAAGTCTCTGGGTAAACTCTCTCTCTGTACCTGCAGCATTCAACCGAAGAGAAACGGGATTAGGAGCTTCGATTAGAAAGAACGTACCACAATCATATCATCAACGTCTCTCCTCCATCCACAAAGTAGAATCTTCTGGGGCTTTCTTGCTGGTCGAGCAATGTGCATGAATGATGCTCCATTGACCTGAATGACCAAATTGATTTTACTTTCGTAAGTTGTTTTAACTATGGTATGCCCCACTCATTAAATTTCATCATCTCCATCACCCTGTGGTTACAAACCATATCAGCTCCTTTTTTCATGAATCACAACATAAATGTCGTCCAGCCCCTTTCGGTTCCTAAATTACTTAATCGGGTTTTTAGATTAGACTGAGAGAAGAAAAAAATCAATAAGCAATTCTCTCCAGTTTTTGGTCCAAGTTCTTTACTAGTTTCCTGTGCCATCATTGACAGTGTTGACTGCAGAACATAATGATGGCAGCAAAATAAATGGCAAATAGAAGAAGGATCTAACTCAAAGTCTTACTATAGATAAAAGGCGGAGAATAAATCTATCGAAAACCTGCAGTTTCCTTCATTATCTTTGCACTTTATAAAGTGTGCAGGAACAAGATGAAAATGGATAATGCTAGCAAGAACAATTTTGCACCAAGGAAAATGAAATCACCGTAGGCAATGTGCTTGGAGCATAGGTGTCATCATCTTCTGCTATAACAAGAACTTCATCTCCTTCTTGCAGAATATACGAGTCCTCGGGATTCAGGATTATTTTACCCCCTCGAGAAGCAACTTTGACTCCACAAGGAATAGCATCCGGGAAACTAATCAGTACATCCTCAAATTGCATACCATCCAATTGCGGCCATCTTTTTATGTAGAATTCACAATTTTCGAAGCCAAGGATATCTTCCCATATCTGTCATTATCACTCTACAATTACTAGAGGTAACTGATAGGGTCACTAAATAACATAATAACCAGAGAAATTTAGTCCAAAAATATCAACAAGGAATGTCACACCACAAGTTCGAGAAGCCCACCTGTGCAAGTCCCGGCTGCCTTGCACATTGAATCATCAAGCGTCCGATAACATCATGAGCTACAACAGTTTCAACAAGTTCTCCACCAACAAGTTTAACCAAAACCTCATTGTCAAGATCACTTAGTTCCACAACAATATGTCCTCTTAGGCCTTCCTTTACTCCGGTCAAACTTAAGACTGTTCTCAAAGCACGAGCATCACTCTGCATTACACCATGAACAAGAATCAGCAAACATCATCTAGACAACAACATCAGAGATGCATCAGATTAACACATCTGTAGAGACCTGATCAGCATTTCCATCTTCAGCAAGGACAACGATTGCACGGGCCTTGGAAACAGAAACCTGAAAGAATAGGCATGTTAGCATGACAACTATGGCCCTAGCATGTACAAATGTTTTTAACATTAAATAACTTCAACCAGCAGAAAAGACATATTCGAGATTATGTAGCACAAATGCATTGATGAAAATAAATCAAAGTGTAGCAATGCTCATTGAGCACAAACTAAACTTACACCGATGTTCCATCAACTACATTAGTTGATTCAGATTTATATTTTTAGATATCTTTAAACAAGGTTGATTCTGTTAAATCTGATAGTGAGTATTTTAGCAGAGGGTAACTTATTTTGACATATAAACCCATACTTTTTCAGGTCGGCCAGAATTAGAGGGCTTCCACTTCTGCAAATCACAGATGTCCCTCTGAAATCAAACTCCATTTTGGCAATATCGAGCTCCATCTCCTCCTTGTCCCGTTCACCCATTACTACCACAGTACCACCACCTAAACTCTCGTTAGCTATGGCTAGTTGATTGAGCAATGAACCCTGCATTGACAACAAAACAAGCAACAATGTAGGGAACAACAGCATAAAAACCTATCACACATTCTGCTTCTGAGTTCAGATATATAATTTCATACCAAACATTAAATCAGGCAGTAAGCCGCGGATCGTGCATACAGTATAAGCAAACACAAATTCAAATGTATGCATGACCTAGAACAAGAATATGGAAAGAGAGAACATGAAAATCATTTAAAAGTTTACCAATTTATCACTCCACCCAAGAACTAGAGTGTGGTTTTGCTCAACAACCTCGCTTCTTCCTTTTCTCAATGAATCGAGCTTCTCGGAAATTGCATCAGAAACAAGCCCAAGCATCATTGCAAATATAAGCATCCCGCCGAAGCTTATCGAAACAGAAACTAATCTGGGACCCATACCTTCAGAGTTGGCATGGTTACCTGAATCAGCAACATAAGTCCAAGATAACCAAAGGCAATCTGCTAGGCTATCATCAGTGACACCGAAAAGTGCCAACCCTCCGAGACAAATAAGCAGTAGAGTTGCAATCAATAAAGCAAGTGGCTTTGCATACGGATGTACTGATAAAATGACATCCACTCGATATTCAAGTTGCTTATTAAGAGAAACTTTTTCAGAAGAATTATCTGAGGATCTCAACTTAGAGATATAGTCAACGTACTTGAAAAGAAAGATAGGCACAGATAACAGTGCAATCGAGATAGTCAGAGCTAGAATCTTTAATCCTTTACTGGAAAGATGATCACTTTCTTGCGATATAGAAATAGTATCTAAAGGGTCCAACATATTGCAAGCTTGGAATTTAAGATTCATAGATGAAATTTGGTCCTGCAAGCAAAAAATATATATATTTAGAGAGAGTATTAAGTAACTATTATCATATATATATATATATATATATATAGGAAAGCAGAAACAAAATGCAGATAATGAAAATAATAATCAAACATAATTTCGCTTAAAAAGAGTTTACAAAATGAATCATTATTTTCATAGAAACTAAAGCAGTAAGAAGTCAGCAGCTGAAAAAGGAAAAAAAGCAAACAAACTTTTTTGGCCAATCAAGCAAGTTCTTGAACTAAAATAATTCCAGTTAATTAAGCAACTTAAAAGCACGATCATTAAAGTAAGCATAAAATATGATCAGCTTTATAGGGAAATGCAGCATAAATCTTGAATGCACCTGCAAGTCAATGACTTGATTGTGTAAAGAGAAATTCTTGTGTACTAAAGAACCAAACGCTGTGATCAAAATCTGCAAAACAAAGTAAACAAAAACTATCAAATTAGGAAGTAAGAGCTTTGGAGAGACAAAGTGGGGGGGGGGGGGAAAGAAAGCAAAAGGCATACATACAGCTAAGGAGAAGGTCATCTGCCACCGGATTTTGACCCGTTGACCCAAAACCCGAATACCAATTTCACCAACAGCCGTTTTCTCACCGGAAACGGCCTTGGAAACGTCCCGTTTCTGTTCCAAAACGGGGTCGTCTCCTTGCTGTTTCGGCGTTTTCTCGCTCCTCTGAGTAAAGTCAACTCTGCGACGAAGACTACCGTACTTGGGGTAGCTATAGGAGGCGATGTCGGAGGAAGAAACTGCGGGGAACGTTGACTTTCTGGGGGGCTTCCAATTGGGAGGAGAATGGCGGGGGTGTCTTGGGATAGTGGAGAACTTGCGGGGGTAATTTGGAGATTGTGGAGAGTGGATGAAGGAAGGTGAAGGGAAGAACCAGTCCCTGCTGGAGGAAGGAGATGATGGTGATTCTGAATCAAGAGACATGTGGAAATGTTTGAAAATAATGTTAGTGAAGTCTTGAACTTTGGGTAACAAATATGTTAACACACTGATGATGATGATGATGATGATGATCACTGATTAATTGTTAAAATAATCAAAAGGATTCAATAACACTGTTTTTATAGGACATGAGATGCTCTGAATTCATTTTTTTCCTCAAAAAGATGCTGTTAGCTTCTACCTTCCAAAAATGATCATTTTCATTGTAGTTGTTGATGGCCATTTTTACCGCTCTTGAACCTATTTTTTTTATTTTAGAAAAAGAAAAAGCATTTTCTTCCTACTTAAAACAAATTGTAATTATCGTATTATTTTTTTTAATATTATCTTTTAATTTAAAAAATAAATTTAATATGATCTTTTAACCAATATTTTTTATTGTTGTTCGTTACGGTGCTAGTCTTGCAGTTCACGATATTAATATGACGGTTTTCGATGATGACATGACAGTCCATCTATCATGTTTGAGTTATCAATTTAATTCATTTATCATGTTATCCATCACATTATTAATCATTGTAGGTTGTCACGTCAATACTATGGACCGCCACAAAAACATCGTGAACTGCCATGTCAACATTGTTCAACGATAAAAAAACGTTAGTCAAATGGTCACATTGAACTTATTTTTTGAGTTGAAGGACCGCATTAAGGGAAAAAATACGAGAGTTACATTAAATTTTTTAAAAGTACGGGGACCTTTTATGCTCTTTTGCCATTAAAAAAACTTCTCTATCGGAACTCTCTCACCATATCTTCCCTTAAGCCAATAGATAAAGATTTTGTGCTTAATTCAATGAACAGTCTCCCATGTGTTCTGCTTTTCTTTTGTTTTGTTGGTATTTTTCTGCTTGTTTGGATTCCTCTGGATTATCCTTGGACCAGTTCTTCTTAATTCAATGAACGTTAAATATGGCCGTATATATGTCATCCTCTGTGTGTGTATATATATATATATATAATGAAAATGAGCTAGATATAGTCAATGGTTACATATGTGCATCATATGCAGAAATGAATGAAAACAGAATTTGCAATGGTTGTTGCATAGGATAGGTTTATCTGCACTTCTTCTTCTTCTTCTTCTTCTTGTCTGCCCTTGATAGTAAGTGGTCGTCCGTTTACCACAAGGACCGAAACACAGGGGTCATACTAATGAGCTTTCCTGGCATAATTTCTCCCAGAAGAACCTTCCTCCTTAGCTCTGGATTATTTGGATCCGTCATGTTGGACATTATTTCACTGTACTTGTGCTGCTGTGTGCCATATGTTTTACCCAACTTCATAAACATTGCAGTTTCTACGCTTATCGCTGCCTGGATGGGATCACAACCATTCACTCGATCCAACACCTCTTCATCATCGGTCTCACCAGCAACTTTAGAAAACGCCTCTAAAAATATCATCCGGATTTGGTTACGATAAGGATCGTAAGTTTTGATCAATGGATTCAGCTTCGGACCACTCTTTGCATTTGATATCTGCTCAATATTAATCTTGTTCTTGTCAGCCATTGTAGTTGCTTTCTTTTCCTCGAGCTTGATGGGCTTAGTGGGAATGGCTTTAGACGTTTTGTGAATGGGGAAGGTGCCATTTTTCTTTCTCACGGCAATTTCTTCAAGAACAAGTTTTTTCCACATCTCAAGCAACTTGGAAGCCACGGTATTGATCCTCTCCCTAGGATGCTTCGTGAGTAGTCGAAGCCTTTTCCCAACCTTTGTAAAATGAAACAGTAAGAATAAACAGAACGTGATGGGAAAAATAACAAACCTGAGTAGAAAGAAGAAGGTCATAGGTGACGGGAAAAGCCTTGAGCAGGTTCAAGGCGTCGATGCATCTCGAGACTTCGGGCCGTTGGCATTGGAGGCGGCCAAATCAGCGGCTTTACTGGCAGCCTCAAACAAATCCACAAGCTCTCTCTCCATTAGTCAATCTCAGAATAACCTTAGAGTGAAGAATGCAAGGTCAGGACGAATGTGGTGTGGATGAGCTTGCTTTTGTAGAGCAATTTCTAAAGAAACCGAGACCGACTAGGAGGAGGAGACTGCTGCCCTTTTCTTGATACGTAAGTCTCTCAATATAAAGGGCCGGGGACTTCGTGGGCCACAAGTCTAGTTTTTTCAACACAACCGTGCATCCCAAGTTGATCTTTTAAATTCGAATTTGATCTATTGAATTTGAATTTTAAAACAAGTGTCCATATTCGACCTTGAAACGATCATTTGAGTTGAATCAAAACATATATGATGGGGACGTATACATTTTCAAGTTGTAATAATTTTGTCCTTTAAAAAGACAATATCCTATATTGTCTCGTTGTTTATATTTGTTCATACAACTTTCTAAGCTGGCATTTGAGCAAAATCTAGCCGTTAGCAAAGGTTTCACCTTTAAGTTTTCTTAGTTCTAAACCACACTATGCAATTCGAACGTTAAACCCCAGACACTTTAAATACTACTCTTCGTCTCCTTCCTTTCTTCCTCAACAAAACCTTCAAAATCGAGTTCGAGTCAAATTCAAAAGAGTCTGAATCCAAGCTCTCATCGATGGGTTTCTCGATCGAAAACTTGGTAACTCAATCCCACACCCGAACTCACAAAATCTTCCTTATAAGCAACTATTTCCTCTTGGGAACAGCTTCCAGCTGCATCTTCCTCACACTCTCCCTCCGCTTATTCCCTTCCTTGAGCGGCTTCTTCCTCATCCTCCTCCACGCCATCACCATCGCCGGCGCCATCACCGGCTGCTCCGTCGCTGTCTCCGGATCCAACAGGCGTTACGCCGCTCACATGGTGGTCATGGTGCTGACGTCGATATTCCAAGGATCCGTTTCGGTTCTCATCTTGACCCGAACCACTGATTTCTTGGGGTACCTGAAATCCTACGTGAAGGAGGACGATGGGGTCTTGATATTGAAGTTGACCGGCGGGCTTTGCGTGGTGGTTTTCTGCTTGGAATGGATCGTGTTGGGGCTTGGTTTCGTGTTGAGGTACTACGCTTTCGTCGAAGGTCATCAAGGGGTCGTTAATGGCGGAAGATCGGCGTATCAAGGGAACGGGAAAGTTCAAGTTTAAAGAAATATTACTGCCAAATTTTCCAGATTTTCTAAGAGTATTGTAAAGCTCTGCTTTTGATTTCATGTACTTGTATTGTAAAGCTCTGCTTTTCTAATAGTATTGTTCCAGATTTATGGTATAATATCTGAATTACCCCCTCAATGTTTACTATGATAATCATTTTGACCATTATTCTTTTTTAAAACATTTTTGCCCTAACGTCTCATTCAGGGACAAAAAGCTTATCTGGATGTAGAAAATGTTAATTAACAAACGGGTTATGCCCAAAATAGGGATCTTTTTACTCTAAATAAAATATTTGGGACCAAAATACTTAATAAAAAAAGAATAAGAGCCAAAATTACTATTCGAACAAACATTAAGGCTCTTTTTACCCTCAAATGAAACATTAGAAGTCAAAATGGTAAAAATAAAAAATGTAAGCTAAAATATTATTTTAATAAATATTGGGGCTAATTTGATATTGTGCCAAGATTTCTTAATATACGTTAGACTACACGTTTAATAAAAGTTCATGATATATATATATAGGGTAAATTATGAGTTTAGTACCTAAATTATTATTTTGGTCTGTTTAAATACCCAAGATTTCAGTTTTTTAAAATCATATCTAACATTTAATTTTTTTTTCATTTTAGTACCTGTCGTTACAAACTTAACACATTTAGTACTTAAACTATCAGTTTTGGTCCATTTTAGCACTTAAACTTTCAATTATTCTTCAAAATTTAACGTTAAATTTTTAACGGGTATTAAAATGAAACAAAAACTAAACGTTAGGTATGATTTTAAAAGAAATCAAAAGTTTAGATACTAAAACATATTAAATCTTATAGTTTAGGTACTAAATAAATAATTTACCCTGATATATTATATATTAGGACATTGCAAATGGTAAATACACAAGTTGTTTAGCGATGGTTTCGACCCCTTTGAAAACTTTCTCAATTCCCCAAATCCTTGATTGAATTATTATAAAATTTTAAAATAAATTTAATTGTGATATTTTAAATATGCAAATATAATATATTATTATGATTTTAAATTTCAATCGTTTGCATGCACTGTGGCTAAAACAAGACAATCCAGGAAAGAATATAGGCATATGTTAATGTCTGCCTAACATGAGATGAGACAACATATTGGTGGTGACAACTTCCTTAATGTCGACTCACAAATCTTAGCTATATATATATGTTATACCTAAATTTTTATGTAAAAAAATAGATAATATAATAATTATATGTTAATATATCTTAATTTCCTTATTTTATTGGATAAGTAAAAGAAAGCTAAAAATTTACACATATAATCATGTTTTTAAATTTAGAAAACATTAAGTCAAAAGAATAAGCAAAAGGAGCCCCCCCCGCAAGCTAACACCATCATCGCTCAAAATAATAAAAAATATTAATATAATTATATTTTTTTATTAATATGTTATACGTATAAGGTAATATTTGTTTAAAGATAACTTTCGGTTATTTGATATTAAATACTCATACTCATAATATTCCTGATGTTAGAACTCGAAGCCTAAAAATATTAAATTATGTAACATTTAAAAATATAAGATTATATAATTAAATTAGAGAGAAAATATTAAACTCATAACTTAGGTATAATACAATAACTATTATGATACTTTGAATTAAATATTGTCATTTAATTAAAAATTGTAACATTTAAAAGTATAAGTATTAAAAGTGATGCTAAATTATGTAATACATAGAAAATTTATTAATATTGTAACATTAAAAAAGTTAAAGAAAATGTGTGAAAGCATTGTTGGTTGTTATTATTTTAAATAATAAAACCAGTAAAAAATAATCGAAAACATCATTATTTTGATCGATTTTAATTACCTATATAGGTAAATGCGATAAAAAAATTCGGTCAAAAAATAATATTTTTGATAAAACGCTACCTAAAAACGTTTACCTATATAAGTAATTATAATCGATCAAAATAATAATATTTTCGATTATTTTTTACCGATTTTATTTAATAATAAAACCGATAACACCTTATTTTAACCGTATACTAAAACGCAGTACGGGAGCGTTTCCGGCATTGTTGTGTAGATTGCTTTTCGTTGCATCAGCGATCAGAGTTTCACAGGCAAAACAGTGTTAACCTATCCCAGAAAAAGGGTAATTTCTATCAGTAACTCACCAATTTATTACATCCTTTCCACTTTAGTCACCATATTAATGTTTTGGTAAAATCATTAGAAATAGTTTTTTTTTCCTATTTCATCCTATTATTAAAGGCGATTAAGAGAATTCACTTCTCTTGTGTTTCAAAGGCGATTAAGAGAATCGCAACGCGATTAAGAGAATCGCAACGCGATTTAGAAAATCGCAACGGTCAAAAGAAAATCGCAACGCGATATTCCAAGAATCGCAACGCGATCGCAAAACTGTCGGCAGTAGAGCTGTTGCATTTGTTTCTTTCTTAAGAATTTTCTCTAAAAAGATAGTATCCGCGCGTACGTGTCGAAGACACGTATTACCACAACCATGACCACGACCACGACCACGACCTGACCCGACCCGAGACGGCGGCGGCGGCGTGCGAGAGTCCCCCTTGTTCTCTTTCACTCAACAAGGAAATGGGAAATCCAAGCCTTAAATACACTTCCCAATAGTGTTTCCAATACTATGTGAGATTGAGCATTACTCAACACTTCAATGAAAATATAACAATTTTTGTAGCATGTTTCCCGCTTAATCCATATCTAAAAATATTAAAACATTTTATCATATTAAAACTATATGTATAAGTTTGAATTGAAATGTAGATATCTACAACTCTTTTAATTCTCTTGATAAAATTTTAATATTTTTAGATATGGATTAAGTGGGAAAATGCTACAAAAATTGCTATATTTTCTTTGAAGTGTTGAGTAATGCTCAATCCCACATAGTATTGGAAATACTATTGGGAAGTGTATTTAAGGCTTGGATTTCCCATTTCCTTGTTGAGTGAAAGAGAACAAGGGGCACTCTCGGGCGCCGCTGCCGCCGCCGTCTCGTCTCGGGTCGTGGTAATACGTGTCTTCGACACGTCCGCGCGGATATTATCTTTTTAGAGAGACAAATGCAATACGTGGTCGTGACGTTTTGCGATTCTTGGAAGATCGCGTTGCGATTTTCTTTTCAACGTTGCGTTTTTCTAAATCGCGTTGCGATTTTGTTGGTCATTTTGGCAAATCAAAAAAATTTGATTAAAATCGTATATTATAAGATATTTCGGTCACTGACGTTTTTTTCTCTTTACAAAATGTGTTTAAGGACATCGAGTTCTATAAAAATTATTTTGAATATACATTGTGTTGTACTTATTCATATTAATAAAAAAAACTATAATATTATGATGAAATTAAAATTTTATAATTAGAAAATTTAAACATTGATGTTTTTTTCTCTCTTATAGTTCAAAGATTGGGTTTTTTTTGTTTAAAGTTTCATCATTTTTCAGTAGCAGTTGAGTGTCCGGAAAAGTGGTGAAAACAGTGTCTGTTTATAGGTCTAAAAGCTCTAAACTAAACTACCATTCTTCTTCTTCTTCTTCCTCTCTCTGTGTTTTTAGAGTTGGAACATGCTCTTGTTGGAGCCTCCGATTTTGTCTCCGGTTTGGTTTTTCTTCTTCACTTGTCTTTCTCTGTAATAAACTGAAATCTCCATTGTTGGAACAAGCAAGCTTCTTATTCTTTTCAAAGGAGGTGTTTTTTTAGTGTGGTTCACGTTAAAAAATGGTGATGGTAGCTACCGCCGTGATCCACCTTCTTCCACTTCTTTTCCTGTTTCTCTCAGCCGTGTCGACGACCGTTTTTTTGGATCACGACCACCACCGACGTTGTCTCCTCCACCAGCCTTTCTTCCGCATACTTCCCTCCCACCAACTTATCCTCCTGCTGCTTCACCACCATTTCCCTCGCCGCAACCTCAGCCTCAGCCTCAGCCTCGTCAAAAAACAAAATCCGAAGTATCCTTTCTCCACTACTCCGCCTTCCACCCCTCAAGCTCCATTTTGTCTTTCCTTCCCTTCTCCTCCACCGCCTCCGTCTCTGCCGTCGACCCTCCTTGCTTTTCCCGCCAACATTTCCTCCCTGCTCATACCCCACTCTCCTTACTCCTCCTCTCACCGCCGTCACCTCCTCCTCATCTCCCTCTCCGCATCCCTCCTCGCCGCCACCATCATCCTCTCTCTCGCGGCCCTCACCCTCTTCCTCCGCCACCGCAGCCACCAAAACATTTCCTCCGAAGACAAAGCTTCCCGTTCAGACTCCCTCCGGTTATTCCCTCCGAACATTCCCCCTTCCGATGCCTCACAGAAAACACCACCTCCACCGCCGCAACAACCGCCGCGGTACGTCTCGACGAATCGTATTTCGGAGTTCCTTTATTTGGGTACCCTTGTTAACACTAGAGTAGACGCTGCTAAAGCAACGACAACCCTTTCTAGCAATGTGGGTATCAAGCTAGGAGTCTCGTCTTCTCCTTATCAAAAGCTCGGCTCTCCTGATCTGAATCCATTGCCGCATTGCCAAAGGTCCAAACTTTTCAAAGTGGTGAACAGTTCATCCAAGTTCCTCTAATGGGTAGCTTTCAAACCAACGTTGAAGTCGAAGAAGACGAGTTCTTTTCACCGAGAGGATCTTCACATGGAAAAGAGAGTCCTCCACAAGTAAGAACCGAGTCGAGCTCGAGGAGGGACTTTCATGGCGAAATCTATTACAGTCGAAGCTTCAACTCGAGAACTGCTTCGTACCCTTATTATAACTCATGCTCACCATCAGATTCATTCTTGAACTCAAGTCCTTTGAGCCAAAGATCTCCAGATACTGTCGTCCCCATCTATACAGTGAAAGTAACGAATCCATCTTCAAATTCGCCTTCATCTTCGAGATTATCTTCGTCATCTTCGAAAGGTATTCTCCTGATCGAGGTTCGAGTTTTTCAGGTCAGAACAAGGAATCTCCATCAAGGGTTGTGCTTAAAAAGCTTCCACCGCCACCTCCACCTCGACCTCCACCGCTTCCACCGCGCGTTTTTGGGAGGTTCCCACCGTGGCGAACTATGTTCCGGAGACTAAAACAGGTGGACCGCCGGTCCTTGTTGCACCCTCCAGGCCAG